TCCCAAACGCAACCCCTAAATAGGCTTAACCGTTTGGGATGTTTAGGCCAAAAGGTTTAACTCATTTGAATGATTTAATTATTATTATTATTTTTTTAAAATAAAACATTTCTATTTTTCCGTTCTTTTCCGCTTCCCCCAAAATTTCCCCCCAAAATCTAAAATCCGTTCTCTGCTCCCCCCCACCCCCCAAAAAACATTCCCCCAAAATCTAAAATCCGCGCCCCTTATCCCATCCCCTCAAATTCCTCATCTGACCCTCATCTGAAATCCCTCTTCTCAAACCCCAATCTCTCAAATCCCTCGGCCATCTTCTTCCTCCTCCTTCGCTCCGGCCGTCGCCTCCACGTCGTCTTCATCCGCTTCGATCTCACTGGGCTCCGCCGTTGGGTCCTAGGGTTCTGCATCATCCGCTTCGATCTCGACACCCAGCCCTACTGCTCCGTCCCATGTCTGAGACTTTGAGGCTGCGATCTCCACACCCAGTCCTCTACGCCATGCTCAGTCCCCCCAACTCCAACTCCAGCATTTGTCTTCAGAATAAAGCTTAGCACTTGGCTCGGAAAAGCTTAGCACCAGAGGCCTCTCATGGCGGCAGTGGACCCCACTCGGGCCTTCGTCAAGGGCGTCAAGCGTATCGTCATCAAAGTTGGTGTCGTTTCTCTCTCTCTCTCTCTCTCTCTCTCTCTATATATATATATATACCTTGAGGTATGGTGTAATTACACCTGGAGTTTGCATATCTATATGAGTAACCTGTAGTTACTGATTGTAGTTACATCGATAACCCTAGGAGTCGCTTGTCATCTAGGCTTCAGCGTCACCCTTGTAACTACAACTTGTAAATTCAGTTGGCAAAGCGGGGTTTTAGCAGATCATAAGAATAGAAGATTGAGCTAAAACTGCTATAATTGTATTTCAGCTTTCTACATCCTTAGTAATGCATTTGAAATTGTTTGCAGGTTAATAGAAAAACAAGAAACATGGCTTATGATTTGCTTGTTGAGATTGGGCATACCAGGATGGGAAAAAGGAAAACCTATTTGAGTTTTTTAAAATGGTATTATAAATTATTCAGAGTGCATATTTTTAATTTTGGTACCTCTAGATCCTAGAAAAAAATGGTGTTATGCCCCTAGGCCCTAGAAATGGTGTTTTCATCGATGTATGTGCATGCGCGCACAAATGTGTGGGTTTGTGGGTTGTGTGCACGCGCATGTTTATTTGCATTGTTGTTTGCTTGATGCTTCAGGTTGTGGACACCATTTGGGTGATGTGATTAAATGTAGTTATTTGCCTTTTGATCTTTCTCTTCAAACCTAGGTTGCTGGAGGTTTGGCCGGTGAAAAGCCACACATGATCAGTGCAGCTGTCAAAGGGTTAGCTCGGTTGGTTTATGAGTTCTCAGATCTCATTGGTGTAGCTTATAACTTGCTTCCATCTTCATTTCTTCTCCTCCAAAGGAAAAATCGAGAAATAATCAAAGTATCTTTCTACTATTTTGAGCGCAACAAATTTAAGTCATATGAAAATTTTGATAGTCAGCTGAAGCTTTTGTATATTTGGCTGTATTTGCTTTTTTACTGTACTGGCACAGGCAAAATTTGGGATTGATCAAGGTACTAGTAGCAAAATCCAAGTCGGAGAGACTACAAAATCACTTAAGGACAATGGTCGAAGGGTTGTTGAAATGGCAAGATAATACTAAAAATCATTTTAAAGCTAAGGTACTGTATTTTCTGAACTTGTTTTGGCCTCTGTTTCTGTATATGTTGGTAATATTTGGAATGAACTGATTTCATTCCACTAAACCTGTAGTCAAATATCTGCATCATGATGCACTTATCCTTTGTTGTATATTCACAACAAAGGACTCCTGAATTGTGGCCCAACAATTTCAGGTGATGGTTCTTAAGAAAAACATATGTTTTGATTGTTGGAATTTTGTTTACATAACTTACTGAAAGCATGTATTCTTTGGACTTTGTAGTATGTAAAAATGTGTTAATAAAAATACTGGTAAGGTGGTAGACTTATGCATTGTTATTACTACTGTTGTTTTATAGATGTAAGTTGTAACTCTTTTATAGATGTAACTTGTTGTGCCTTCTCTTGTACATTAAAACTGTGCTACTCTATTTCTTATGTGCTGCATAGATTCTGTTACATGTTTATAATTTCATTGACTGCAGAAAATTACCTATAATAGATGTGCTATTTCAATGATAAGAGTTTATGCACTCTTCTCATTCATTTTGGCAGGTCAAATTACTTCTTGAAATGCTTATGAGAAAATGCGGTGTAGATGTTGTTAGAGTAGTGATGCCTGAGGAGCATATGAAACTCCTTACAAACATAAGAAAGGTAGAAACACTTGTAACTGACTTGTGGCATTTATGTTTCTAAGCTGGTTCTAATTATTTTCTAATTTTATTGTTGTTCGATTGATAGATCAAAGAGCGGAAAGAAAGAAAAGCAAAATCTGATGAGGATTCAGAATCAATTCATACTAAAACAAGTATTTCCAGGTAGCGCCTGCATTAACTAGAGACAGATGTGTCCTTGTGTCTGGTTTTGATAGATTAATTGTCTCTCAGTGAAAGTGCAATTACATTCTTTGTAATCTTTCTAAGCATGTTTTTAAGCTTGGAGACGCTGTTGGGGCTGGAACACGAGACAGCGGGGTCGTCGTTTGAGGATTTCGGGATCT